GCGGGAAGCTGGGAGCAGAGCTGAGGGTCAAGCCGGGTGCTGGGCTGTGGGCAGTGGACCTCAAGCAGCGTCTTTCCTGCTGCATCCAGTGCCCACCACTGCTGAGACTCTAATGAACACAGACTGGATTGTGCAAATGCTTTTTTTTTAAATTTATTTTTTGTCTGTTGATATGTTCATATAATTTTTATTTAAATTCTACTGATATAATGGGTTGTATGAATTGATTTTGAAATGTTGGATCAGCTTACACGTCTGGGAAAATCCCACTTGATTGTTTTATGTCATTGTTTTCATGTATTATTAGATTTGATTTTTGCTAATTGTTAAGTGTTTTTGCATCTATGTTCATGAAGTATATTGGTCTGTAGTTTTCTTGTAGTGTCTTTCTCTGGTTTTAATGTTAGGGCTGGCCCGACAGAGTACATAAGAAAATGTTCCCTCTGCTTCTGTCCTCTGGAAGAGCCTAGAACACTGCAAGTGCTTGATAGAATTCACAAATGAACCTGAGTCCAGAGCTTCCTGTTCTTCACAGTGATTCATTATTGATTCAGTTTTAAAAATGGATATTGGCTTGTTCAAATAGCCTGTTCCTTGCCTGGGTTTTGGCAGGTTGTGATTTTTGAAGAGTTGGTCCTTTTCTTCCAGATTATCAACTATGTGGGCATAGAGTTGTTTTTAATGTTCCTTTACTATCCTAAATTCACAGGATCTGTAGTGATGTCCTCATTTATTTCTAATATTGGTAATTTGTGTCTTTTGTCTTTGTTTTCTTAGTTACTTCAACTGTTGGTTTTGTTTATCTTTTCAGTCAACTTTTGGTTTTGTGGATTTTCTCTATTTTCGGTTTCATTGATTCTTGCTCTGATTTTTAAACACTTTTTCTAAGTTTGGGTTTAATTTTCTCTTATTTTGGTTTCCTGAGGTAGCAGCTTAGGTATTGGATGATAAATATTTTCCCTTGTGATTTCTTGTTGGACCCGGCATGTTTAGTCTCCAGCTCTTTTGAGATGTTCCAGCTGTCTTTCTGTTATTGATTTCTGGTTTAATTCCACTATGTTCTGACAGCAGATACTGTTTGATTTTACCCTTTTAAATTTGTTAGGTTGTGTTTTATGATTTAGAATGTGGTCTGTCTTGGGGGAACGCATCTGAGCTTGAGAAGGATATGTGTTCTGCTTTTATTTGATCAAGCGCTCTAGTCATGTCAATTATATCCAGTTGACTGATGGTGCATTTAAGTCCTCTGTATCTTCATGATGATGGCGTCTCTCCTGCCTGGCCAGTCTCAGTAAGTCCACTGTATCTTTAGCAATTGTTTTTGCCTGCTAGATTGTCCATTTCTAACAGAGGTATGTTAAGATCTACAAGTAGAATGATGGATTCATCTAGTTTTTATAGTTCTGTCGCTAAATCTTTTCCTTGCATTCCCGGGGATCCCATATGGGTGCTGGTTTGTATCCCAGCTGCTCCATTTGTGTGCCACTTGTATCCAGCTCTCTGCTTGTGGCCTGGGAATGCAGCAGAAGACAGCCCAGGGCTTTGGGACCTTGTACCCGTGTGGGAGACTCTGAGGAGGCTCTAGGCTCCTGACTTTAGATCTGTTCAACTCCACTTTTTGTGGCCACTTAGAGGGTGAATCAGCAATGGTTCACTCACCTGTCTCTCCTCTCTGTGAATCTGCCTTTCCAATAAAAATAAATGAATCTTTTTTAAAAAAAAAAGAAGCTTAAAAGGCTTAGATATATTTATCCTTAGATATATTTAAGGATCATTTTGTTTTATTAGAGTTGTGTCCCCTGTATTGCTTTGTATTATCTTTCATCTCTGAAAATTCCCTTTAGTCTAAAGTCTGCTGTGTCTGAAATGAATGTTTCTTCTCTTACTCTCTTTTGGGTAGTGTTAGCTTGGTATATACTTCTCTCTCCCTTTTTATCTGTCTTCTGGGGTGAGTACTTCGTCTAGCATTAGGATGGCCGTATTCCCTCTTGGAGTGCCTGTATTTGATTCCAGCTTCTTGAAAATGCAGACTGTGTGAGGCAGTGGTGATACCTTGGGTAACCGGGTTTCTGCCACTCTTGTCGGAGAGCTGGGTTGGTTCTGGGCTCCTGGCTGTGGCCTGTCCCAGTACTGGCTGTTACAGGCATTTGAGTCAATGAACCGGGGGATGGGAACACTGTCTCAAACAAATTTTAAAAATTTGAAGTGCTTTCTGACAGCATGCTGCTGGGTCTTGGGTTTTGATGCACAGTGACATTGTGTGCATTTTTCTTGATACATATAGACCATTGGCATGTAAGGTAATTATATGTATTTTTGAAATTCTTGGTGTGATAATTCCAGCATTTGTGCCATATCTGATTCTGATGCTTGTTCGATGATTATTGTCTTTGGTGGTTTTCCCTTTAGGTATACCTTAAATTTTTATTGCAGGGTTGTACTGGAACTGTGGTACGTAGGCCTTTAGTAATATAGTGATGAAGCATGGGTGCCTGTGACTAGGTCTGCGTCTTTTGATTAGCCAGGATTCAACCTCAAGCTGCTCAGCTTCTGCCCACGATGGCATCTGTCAGGATGCCTAGAGGGACTGTAGATGGGTTTTAACCACCCCTTATGTGCCAGTCTTACCCATTCCTTCTGCCCATTGAGTTAGACTTTGGCAAAACTTTCTCCTGAAGGTAGGCTTTGTTAAGAAAGACACAGCGATCTATTGTATTTCAAAATGGTTCCTTTCCCCTGCTCCCTGTTGGAATCATGAGTGCTTTTCCCCCACAATGTCTAATCTAAGCACCTGGTAGGATTCTTGCCTCTGCCTGCACGGTTTTATCTCTTGGAGTTTTTAATTCTCGGTGTCACCTACACCAAGCCTACAGCAATTTGACACTGGTTCCTGTGGAGATTTCTGGTTTGGTTGGTTATGACTCCCTGATTCCCCTCTTGGTGCAGTTTGGGGTCAGCAGTATGGCCTGTGACCTCGGTTCTCTGGCAGTGGGAAGAGCTGTTAATTTTTTAGGTTGTTCGGCTTTTTCCTTGTCAGGATGCAGTGGCAGCTTCTAAGCTTCTTCTGTGCTAGGCTGCAAACCAGAAGTCTGCCAGAGTTCTTGCTTCCTTTTGGTCACTTTGAGTCTGCCTCTTTCTCTGACACAGTTAACCACCTGTGGAATCTGAGTCTGCTTGGTCTTGAAAAACAGAGATTGGAAAGCTTGGGCTGCACACAAAGATTGTTGTTGAGTAACTGTAACAAAATTAGACCTTTAAAAAAAATCAAAGGGTAATTTTTTAAAGAATTTTGGTAAACAGATATTATCTCCCTGTGAGTTCACACAGGATGTGGGTGGATCTGCTCCATGGGTTTTGCTTTGATGCTCATGGCCATTCTAAGCCGTCTCCCCAATGATAAAAATCCCTCTCTATGAGGGTAGACTTGAGTTTGTAGACTAACTGGAAGATTTTTGGAGCTATGTTCAGCAAACTCAGAAAGTTGATAAAGATGGATGTAATTTGGGGGAGGGGAGTCTAAAAGGAGAGTTTGGAGAAATATATCTAGTTGCCTACATTTTTATAAAATGAGAGAAAACAAGGCTTCAAGAATACATTTCTATTTTCCTATATATAAACAGAAGCTCTTAAAGAACGCAGAGAACTTAGTTCCTGGTGCTAAGGATTAGGGCAGGAGGGTGGAGGCAGGCCTGGAGGTGGGATATTTTCGTTGGTTACACCTTTGTATATGTCTATTTTTGAACCATGTGAGACTATTGCCTATTGAGAACATTGAAATATTTTTTCAAAAGTTAGACATTTCTGTGAAGCAATGACATTGTTACATTGGGGTTTTACAGACAGGAAATGAAGTATCAATCTCTGTCTCTGAATTTGGAATGGAGATAGAGAAAAAGTATTAACTTTATGATTGGTAGAGTTGCTCGGATAATGTTATCCTGTAGTTGATCATTGCTTTTTTGTTTTGTGTGTATGTGTGCACACACACACACACCTGAGTGGGACTGGCGAATGGTAGTCAGAGGAGCTCAGAGCTGGCACCTCACCCATGGTGCAGCACTCAGGGTGGCGTAGAGACCGTGCATTCCAGAAGGGAAAGAAGAGGGGAATGATGTTCTTAGCCATATATTGTGGTCCTTTTTTGCTTGAAATTCTTCACTGACGTTTAAGTTGCCACCATGTTTTTCTTTTGAGGTGGGTATGTTAGCTCTGCTTATGCTTTTGTATTAAGGCACTTTTCTAAATAGCACGTACTTTTATTTTAAAATTCCATCTATAATTCCTCTAATTTTTTATTTTAAAAATATTTCTGCTTTTAGCGCAGATACTCAAATGCATTTAGTGTTAGTTGTATCCACCTCTTCTATACCTTGCTTGGCCTTTTATGTGTCTCTTATTTTTTCTGCAAGTTAAAAGGCAAACAACCTATTTTAAAATTTGTATTTAAAAGACAGAAAGGTAGAGATAGATAACATACAACAAGAGCACTCACTCCCCAAATGCCTACAGTGGCTGGAGCTGCATCAGGCTAAAGTTGGGAGTCAAGAGCTCAGTGCAGGTTCTCTAGGTGGATGGCAGGGACTCAGCCACCTGAGCCGTCGCCTGCTGCCTTCCAGGGTGTGCATTCCCAGGGATGCATCCAACATGGGATGCAAACGTCTTCACCTGACATCTTGACTGACAGGCCAAATATCTGCCCCTGTCTTTGATGTGTATGGATTATTTTTTATGTCACAGAATTTATACCTGCTTTATCCATTCATGAATAAAAATTGTTTGAATCATGAAGCGTTTGCATAGCTTACCTGTGCTGAACAGGAAAGTCCTTATTCAGTGGTATAAATGCTGGTCTCTGTCTTGTTATCTGTCATGTCGTAAGCTTTTTCTGATGCCATCTTTGAGTCTTTAAAGATCCTGTTAATCCTTGAACCACATTTGTACTCATTAATGTTCCCTGCCCTATCAAATTGGGCCTTATTCAACTGGCCATCTGTGTGTAGGAACTGGAACTGTGTGCAAAAGAGGCCAAGTCTTTAAAGGCAGTGCGAGAATCTCAGAGCTTCCAGCTACAGGCAGTAGATCACTGGCCTGAGGGACCATCCCAGAAGCAGTGGGTGAAGAATTCATGTCGCGATCTTCCCAAGCATCTGAATCCTAAGATGGCACCACAGCCCTTGAAAGAGAGTGGTAAGTACCAAGAATCTGGGAATATCAGAGAATTCAGCCTTATAAGCTCAGGGAAAGACATGCAAGGCAAGGAAGGGTGTGTGTGGGGGGGAGGAAGCGTGTGTAGAATGCAAGGAACAGATAAGACAGTGTCTGATGGACCCATCCACTGAGAAGTAGGGTAAGGGTATTGTAAGAGGGGGTTCAGCCCTCAGTGATGCTGGCACACTCTGCTGTATTTACAGGCAGGCAACAGGTGCAGGCTGGGACTTGTCATAGGAGCACAGAACTGGCATGTCACATATGGCACAGCACTCAGGGTAGCTTAGAAGGGAAGGAAGAGGGGAGATGTACGAGGCCCTGGAGATAATTTGAGACAAGTATGACTTTTGGAAAGGCTACTCTTTAGAAGGTTGTGATTTGTGGGGAACTAGACCTTGGGTTCTTAATCCATTTTTTTCCCTCAGCTATCCTCACTCCCCAAGTCCCTGCTCTCGCAAAGATGGGCAGCATTGGAGATTGGGAGGTGACAGTCGAGTCCCAGGTAAGGCACTTGTTCTTTTCTATCATTACTACTCTTTTCTTTTTTCTTGCCCTTGCCCAGTACCCATCTTCTCAGTCCACAGCCTTCCCTCAACAGAAAGCCACAAAGCACTTGCGTAGTCTTGTCCCTCTCTTCCAGTCCGCTGGGCCTCCCTTTGGTTGTGCTACCCCTTATAATCTGAGCCTCACACATGGTGTCCCTTGTATTCTTGGGTCCTGGGAGGGGCCCTAAGCTGTTTCCAAGGGTCAGTAATGGTTGGGTTCTTCCTCTATACCTCTCACAGGAAGCCTTGGGTCCCGGCAAGCAAGTGGAGAAGGAGTTCTGTGAGGACACCGTGGGAGATGACTGTGGGGACCATGTGTGCCTGGGTAAGGGAACAGTGTGCTCCAAAGAGGATGGGTGCCTGGTTTATCCTGCTCTAAGCTCCCCAGTAATGCCTGGCCACTCCCTTAAGAATCCTGGCTGTTTATGAAGGACTATACTATTGTAATAATATAGAGAAAATCATTGGGGAGTGGAGGAAGAGTACTTGGAAGAGGGGAAATCCAAGAACCTATGGGACTATCATAAAATAATAATAATTAAAAAAAAATTCCTGGCTCTGATGTCTCTGGAATGTCAGAGGCCAGGAGACATACTACGGCAGGGATGGAGTGAGCCCTGATGGAGGCTATAGGACAGCTTCCAAGAGCCTGACTTCTTGGAGCTCATCGCCTTCCCTTTCTTCCTTCAGAACATTTGCCACATTTCAGGGACTGTACCCCACCAGTTGTCTCAGAAATCCAAACTTTTTGACACTAAATGGGTTCTGTCTAAACAGGGGTAGGCTCAAGTGAATTAAGCTCATGAGGTATATGTATTAAACGATGGGAGACCATCACAGAGCTCGAGTACCTGAAGTCCAGATGGCCAGTACAGGCAGACTCCTTTCTCTGTAGGCCCCAACAGCGAGAGCCACAGACGAATGGGCGTGTCTCTGTGGGACCTGGGGTCACCAGTAGGGAAGCTCGATGCATGGCTGAGATGAGATAAGGACTGTGACGGAGTTGAGTGTTGGTCAGGAGATTTAGAAGGTCGTTGGCTACTTGTTTGGCAGTGGCTCACGTCAGGGGATGTGGTGTTCAGCGTTTCCCAACTTTGGGAAATGCCGATTCAGAGTATCCTTAAGCCCCTTACGGCTCTGAATTCTTTTTCATCTGGTTCCCCTCAAATACTTATTTTCACTAAAGGCTTCCTGTTTGTTAGGGCTGGGAGCTGTTGGGTCAGCAATGCTTTAGACATAACATGAAACCGACTTTCTCACATTCTGAGAAGTGTACAAAATATGCTTCAGCCATGGTTCAGATAAGCTCTGCAGTGTTGTAATGCTCATAAATTTATTCCCTCTTCGCCAGCTTCAGCTTTAACTTGCCGTCATGACATTTTATATCATAGTCAACAGATAAATAGCAGGGCAATGGAGGTTACAGGTTTCCTGGTAAGCGAGAGACTCCACCCTCTTCCCCCTGCCCTGAACTCATAAACGCCTCTTTTTGCCAACCATGGAATTCAGTCTGTTTGGGTCTGTGTAGGCCATGTGCCCGTTTGTGGGCCAGTAACAGTCACTGCTGTATGTGATACACTCCGTAACACTTAACAAAAAATGCAATGAACAAAGCAAACCAGACAGACTCTTGACATTTTGGTGAGCAGGTCCTATTCCTTTTATTCCTTTTATTCCTATTCTTTTTATCTCACCCCTTCCCTCCCGGCACTTTAATAAGTTAACATTGGAATTGTCATCAGCTTCTCTCAGGTATGTTTTAGGGCCATTTAGAAGAACAAATGCTGACTATAGATCATCTCTACTCATTTGGCTTCTTCTGTTTGTATAGGAGTTCCAGTTTCAAAGGCTAGCAACACCTCACAGCAAGAGCAAGGATCAGAATTTTGGGGTTTAAGCCTTGTAAATTCCACGAAAAGGAACTCTGCAGATGATATCCTGGATAATGAACAAGCAAAAGCAGCCCCAGCACTGGCCTGGAAGGACTCAAAGGCCTGGGAGGAACAGTGCCAGTGGGACGTGGAGGACATGAAGGTATCAGGCGTTCACTGGGGCTACGAGGAGACCAAGACTTTTTTGGCAATTTTGAGTGAGTCTCCCTTCTCTGAAAAGCTCCGGACTTGCCACCAAAACCGCCAGGTGTACCGAGCCATTGCAGAGCGACTAAGAGCTCGGGGCTTCCTACGGACACTAGAGCAGTGTCGTTACAGGGTCAAAAACCTCCTGCGGAACTACCGGAAGGCCAAGAGCAGCCACCCCCCAGGGACCTGTCCTTTCTATGAGGAGCTGGAGGCCTTGGTGCGGTCTCGGATGACTGTCAGGGCCACAGGCGGTCCGGGAGAGGCCATGGCACTGCCCAGGCTGGGGGATAGTGATGCAGAGATGGATGAGCAGGAGGAAAGAGGCTGGGAACCAGAGGAAACAGCAGAATGCTGTAACGGTGCAGTCCCAGCCACTGACGAGTCCAGCCAGGGACACAAGATCTCAGGGCACCCAACGCTGCTACAAAGTCGAATTGGTAAGAGCCTGCTTGTTTGATTGGGTCCAGATTCCAGCCCTTCTGCCAGTCACACTGTTCCTCCCTGAGGTCCCGGTGCATGCGGCAGGGCTGGATTGGTGGTGGAAGAAGGTACTGGGCTCCATAGTCACCTTCATACTGTTCCTCTCTTCTCCCAGAACTAAGCCCCTTGGCTAGGTTTTCTTGGTTATAGAAGCAACATTAAAAGCCTTCAGAGACTGTACAGAAGGAAGTCAGTATTTTCCAGAGTGTGTCACTGGGGATGATCACAGGTGTCATGTCAATGAACTTGGGATTCTGCCAGTTCTGTGTTTCTCTTCATGTGTAGGAGTACATGACGTAGCTAAAGGAAGACAGTGAGGCGCTGAGCAGATGGAGCAGAGATCCAGTAGGCTAGTACAGGCAGTGTGTGGGAGCATCCAGTTGGGAGATGGAAATGTTGATGCCCGTGAGCTGATGCATCGTACCTGTAGACTCCTGCCTGCCCATGTGAGGTGGATTTATAAACTCCATCCTTCAAGCTGCATCCGGGGCTGCATCATGTCCCCAGAGGAACCGACACTAGATGCCTGCACACACAGGACAGGGCATCTTTAATTAGGCTCTGCTACAGGATTACTTGAAGGCAGTCGATGTCTGCAGTCTTTAGAGGTTCTCAGTTGCCATGTTTTGTTAAAAGAAAAATTCATCAGGCAATTTTTATTTTTAATTCACTGGATATAGGGAAACTCTTATGGACCTTCCCCTGAACCAGTGAGCTGAAGCCAGGGGAGTGGGTCTCCCAGGTGCTGCCCATCAGCCAAGACCAAAGTCTTGGTGAATCGCTTAGAAGGGGATGGGGTGAGATGCTCCAGCCGACTTCCCTCCCACCTCCACGAGAGGCAGGAGCATTTTCCCTAGGCTCTTGGGTACTTTCTGGATGCCTGAGTTCTGGGCGCTCAGAAGGGCAGGTGGCCCTGATTACGGATGTCCTAGATAAGCTCATTAAGTCTTATACTTCACTCCCGACAGCAGGTGTGCACTGGGGCTATGAGGAAACCAAGGCCTTCCTGGCAATCCTCAGTGAATCTCCATTCTCTGAGAAGCTCCGCACCTGTCACCAGAACAGCCAGGTGTACCGGGCCATCGCAGAGCGGCTGTGTGCCCTGGGCTTCCTGCGGACATTGGAACAGTGTCGCTACCGATTCAAAAACCTCCTTCGAAGCTATCGCAAAGCCAAGAGCAGCCATCCACCTGGGACGTGCCCTTTCTATGAGGAGCTGGATTCGCTGATGAGGGCTCGGATCGCAGTCAGGGCCCTGGGGGCTGTCCAGGAGAGCACCAGGGGCCACACGGAGGCTGACAGTGTTGAGGTCTGGGGTGAGGTGGCAGGTGGAGATGCCATGAGGCCTAAAACTCCAGACACAGGTAAGCATGGAACAAGCTCATTGTTGTTTTGTTCCTGAACTACAAGAGAGAGTGGGTTTGAGTGGAAAAAAAGATTGGACTTTGCTTAAATTGTCCACTTTCTGGCTTAGTATGACCCCTAAGTGAGGAGTAATGTTAGCTTTTATAAGGGTTCATCTGATCTGGCAGAGCATGTATTTTGCGTGTACTAGAAGAAAGTGTTCACTGTTAATAGTAAAATTGGGCTGGATCCTTGGGCTGGGCTTCGTGGCTCGCTCAGTGGAGTTACCATGTCCCAGAATCCTATAGCTTTTGAGATCGGCATTAATTGTATGTATCAGAACTTGGTCAATTTCAAGTTAGTGACATAAGGTGCACGATACAAGATAAAAATGTGTTAACTGAATTTATCATACACAAGATACAGGTGTATACATAAATACTGACTGGTAAATGAACAATAACTGCCCTTCTGTGCATTTTTCAGGCTTTGAGATGAGGTGTGAGGATGAAGATGAGACTTGGGAGCAGGACATTCTTGAGGAGTCTCCCGGACACTTATCACAGTGTATTCCAGATGCTGTTTGCCGCGCTCGTGGCTGGGAGGAAGACAGTGACCATGAGAACAGTGGTGAGGGGGAGTTGGAGGACCCCCCAGAGGAACAGTGGGAGGAGTGTTCATCTGAAGAGGACTTAGAAAAACTCATTGACCACCGAGGCCTGTATCTTGCAGAGAAACCCTACAAGTGTGACATCTGTGTGAAGAGCTTCAGCCAGAGCTCCCACTTCCTGGCTCACCAGCAGGTGCATACAAATGAGAAGGCCCCTAAACGCCTGGTGTGTGGGAAAGGTTTTCATGACTGCTCCGACCTCAGTACCCATCAGGGACTCCACACTGGACAGCAACCCTACACATGCCTCCAGCATGAGCAGAGCTTTAGCGATCGCTCCAGTTTGGTCACTCATCAGAGAATCCACATGGGTGAGAAGCTCCATCAGTGTGGGGAATGCTGGGAAAGCTTTAACCAGAGCTCGAGCCTTCTGAAGCATCAGAAGGTCCACTGGGGAGGAGATCCTGACCAGCGCAGTGAGCCTGGGGAGAGCTCGGGCAGAAGCCCATCTCGTAGTGCTCACTGGAGGGGCTGCACAGGGGAGACGACTCCCGAGGAAGCTCCAAGTAGCAGGAAGAGCCTGCCACCCAGCACCCACTTAGAAGAGAAACTCTATCAGTGTTCGGAATGTGGCAGAAGCTTCTCCAAGAGTTCTGCTCTCATCAGCCACCAAAGAATCCACACAGGTGAGAAACCCTACGAGTGTGGCGAGTGTGGGAAGAGCTTCAGCAAGAGCTCCACCCTGGCCAACCACCAGCGGACCCACACCGGGGAGAAGCCGTACAAGTGTGTGGACTGCGGCAAGTGCTTCAGCGAGCGCTCCAAGCTCATCACGCACCAGAGAGTGCACACGGGCGAGAAGCCCTACAAATGCCTCGAGTGCGGGAAGTTCTTCCGTGACCGCTCTAACCTCATCACCCACCAGAGGATCCACACCGGGGAGAAGCCCTACCGGTGCCGGGAGTGTGGCAAATGCTTCAACCAGAGCTCCAGCCTAATTATCCACCAGAGGACCCACACTGGAGAGAAGCCCTACAAGTGCACAGAGTGTGGCAAAGACTTCAACAACAGCTCCCACTTCAGTGCCCACCGCAGAACCCACACAGCTGGGAAGGCATCGTAGGAGACCCTCCCCGAGCACAAGCACAGAAGGCAACCAGTGTTTACCTCCCCCAAGGGCACAGGACACATGCTAAAAAGAAGTCCACCTGTTTGTAAACTGAGTGTACACCCAGGGAGGTTATCTTGGTATGATCCAGGTAATTTGGAAGTGAATGCAGACACTAAGGATCCACACTGGAGTGTTGCTTGTTCTTCTCCTGTAAGAAAACAAACAAACAAAACACACTACATAATCTTCAGGCTGTCCTTGTGTTTGCTGTGAGAGCTTCCATAGTGTTTGAGCCTAACTGGGCACGTAGAAGAGTAGGATTAAAGTAGTGAGCCCACCACTGAGTCCAGCGGCAGTCATCAACCCTGGCTTTGCCAGTACAGCGTCTCCATGCATACACCCCTTATCTGCGGTGGCTTGTCATGTGTGGCAGTCTATAGTTGGAATCTGTTCTCACAGAACTTTAAGACTTGATGGGGAAGGGGAGAGAGGCACAATTGAGAATTGGTAGCCAAAACAGTCCGTCATAAGGTCAGCCAAAGTGTAGCAATGATAATGACCCTACCGTAGAATCATTAGCAGTGGTGAGAACAGGCAGTGTTTATTAAGCGTTTGCCCCTTGGCCGGCTCTGTGCTACGTACTTACAACAGCATCTTGCTGAATCCTCACGGCAGCCCCAGGACAGCTCCTGGTGTTCTCCCCGTTCCCCGAAGGAGAAAGCCGAGGTCGGGGCCACTGGAGTGATTTGTGAGCTGGTGTGACAGGAGTCAGGCCAGTCTGGCTGTCTCCCGAGCCTGACACACCCTTCCGTTTAGGGCAGGGATTTGGGTGCCAGGATCTCAGACACTTTGCGGATCATTTCTTGTATAATCACATCACGAGTTCTCCTTTGAACAAATATGCAAGCTGAGAACAGACTTGGGCTCTTCGGTCCTGGTGAAGGGCTTTGAGCACAGCCAAGCTCTTAGCAGAGCACTCAGGAGTTCCATCTGGATGGTGCCCAGGGTGAGAGAGACAGGCAGACACTGGACACGGGGACCCAAGGGATGTTGCTCCCAGTGGGGTCTTGCTTTCACTGAGCCAGTGGGGCTTGAGTGTCTCTTTCCTCGGGGATCAGCCGTGCTTCCTGTTAAATCAAGGTTAAGCCTTCCAGGGTGCCAGGGCTGCTCGCCAGCCCTTACAGCCTCGTGCTTTTGCCTGTCTGGCCTTTTCCCCTTTGGTGTGGTGACTCCCATGCCAGACAGGTGGAAGGAGCTGATGTCTCCACTGACAGGACCTTGGACACTGCTGCACATTCCAGATTCTGGTGCCACTTTATCCTAAGTCATGTTGCAGGTCCACCCATACTTTCCCCTTACTGCCCAGGCAGACCAGCCTCCCACCTGGACAGCTAAGTCAGAAAGGCTTTGGGCTCTAGAGCCTCTCCTTACAAGCATTTCCTTTGGATTTTAAAGGAAGACCCCTCAGGTGATAGCACCTCTGACATTGGGTTAAGTTATGGCCTTGGGAAATCCCTGTCTGAACATGATGACTGGAAGACTGGAGCTCTGGATTCCTATGCAGGGAAGTCAGAGGAGAGGTGGGGCACTGCACCCTTGCCATGCCCCAGAACCTGCCTTCCCAAGCACTGGGAACACCACCTGTCACCTCCTTCCCTGTGGGCCCTTCCTGGATCACATTCCCTCAGGGCAGGAGTCATGGGTGAGGTTTGGATGGAAACCAGCGTATGTTGTTATCTGCAAGGGGAAGGTGGTAGTGAGAGAGGAAGGGTTAGTAATTGCAAGAGAAGGTGTGACGGCAAAGGAAGGGTTCCAGAATCAGGGAAGGGAATTCTCGACAAAGGCACTGTGGCATGAAAGCTTGGGTTCAGGGTAGGGCCTGGAAGCTGAGGTGAGCACTGTTGCTGTGTGAAATAGGTAGTGGGGAGTTTGGGGAGCTGCCTTTGGAGGGGTGCTTAGGGAAGGGTTATGTAGCACCTTGAGTATGAATGGAGCGTGGACTGTAGTTTCAGCGAGACATGTTCTAATATGCATTGTCGAAATCCAACATCCTATTGGAACTTGGATATGCTACCATTAGAGTGGCCTGTTGGGACACTATTGGAACATTCCAATTAAGAGTGAGGTCTGACTTGGATCAATGTTTCCTTTAAAATGTGGAAGGATTTAAGGGGTCAGGGGATAACAGAGTGAAGCTAGATGCCTTTGGTGGGGTCTGTATCCATCATAACTGGTGCATGAGGAGATGCAGGCTGGACAGGTGGGCAAGTGGTTACATGGCTTGTTTGAGGTATTTTGAATTTCGTGCCTAGAAGAGATGTGGGATGATGTGCCTGTGAAGATTTAAGGCTGAAGGAGAGTTTAGAACCAGAGTTTCCTGGGATAACATGGGCGCTAAATTCAAAAGGGGGTTGTGTTTAAGACAAAGAAGTGTTGGGCCTAGAACTTGATAAGCCCCCCAAATAAGGGGACGCTACCTCTCAAAGGGTACTCTACACTCCCACCATGTCTCCCTCCTCCTGCCTTTTGGGGGTCATTGCCCTGCCTTTCTACTGACTCATGAATTCTCTGTGAGTTTTCTGGAATGTTCACTGTAGAAGCCAGGCTGAGCTTTGGGTGGAAGGGAGATGGTGGCCCTCTCCACCTTGAGTGTCATCCTTGCCCCTGCTCTTGGAGCAGTCTTATGCTTTCAGGGAACAGTTTCAGTGTTTGTATTAACTATAGGGTCCACCATGAAAGCAAAGGCAGTGTGGATTGGAAAGCAACACTAAGTTCGGCAATCTCCCCCTGTCCACCTGACTCTCCCTTTGGAAGGACTGTGTCAGGTGACATCAGTGTTTGGGTCATCCCCCTGCCAGGGCATCCAGGCATTCTCAAGCAGATGGTAAGGCCCCTTCCCCAGCTAGCCACAGTCCCTTCCTTGATTTCTGTCCCTGCTACTCCAATACGGGCTTTGTCCCATCTGAAGGGACCAAAAGGCACCCGTTAGCCTGATTCCACAGACTTCACCAGAGGTGGTGCACCCAAAGGTAGAGGCAAGGCAATCAGTCCAGGCAGCGTTGGATGTCTGGTTTGTCCTTAGGCCCTGGCATCACTGCTGAACTTGTGGTTGTGGCTGCCCCAGCCATACTGTCCCCTCCCATTGCTGCTCCCAATGCACTGTAAAGCAACCGAAGTCCCTGTGCTGAGCATTAGGACTTTGAGGTAGCTCTTCTTCCTGGCTCGTCCTGTTCTGAGACCTCTGGGCCACAGGGGAGAGTGGAGGAAGGAAGCACCTTTGGGCCTGGGCTGTGGAAGTGTCGAGTTATGTCTGGAATGGAAGCGAGTGGTGGTGGATTCCCCTTACCTGGGCTGCCCAAGACTGTGTACACTGGAGTTCTGCCCTAGCTTCCATCCCATGGGCACTTTCTAAACCCACTGTGTGGATGCTGATGACTTTCAACTCTGTCTCCTGCCCTGGCCTCTCCTCGAAGGAGCCCAGCTGCCAACTGATCAGCCTTGCTTGGTGACTGCAGCTTCAGAAACCCCAAGGCCATCTGCAGCCATCATTGGTCTCTCCGCCCACCTGCTCAGCACGCACATTGACTAGTGGCTTACTTGAAGGCTGCCTGCATGTGCCCTGGGCCTTTTACAATCTCAGTCCTGTCCTGGGCTGGGGCTATAGAACCCTCTCCTTTCCAGGGGCATTTCTATCTCGGCTGCTAGAAATTCTGTTGCCACCAGAGAAGTCTCTGAATAGAACTGCTGCCTAAAGCCAAGGTTGATCATGCACACATACCTTTCTCTTGGTCTTGCTTCCTTTTTTTTCCCTCTGGATGTCCCTTAGCCCCTTTTCTTTTGGTAACAAGTGCTAATCTTTTTTTTTTTTTTTTAAAGATTTATTTTTATTATTTTTTTTATTGGAAAGGCGGATATACAGAGAGGAGAGACAGAGAGGAAGATCCTCTGTCCGATGATTCACTCCCCAAGTGAGCACAACGGCCAATGCTATGCCGATCCGAAGCCAGGAGACTCTTCTGGGTCTCCCACGTGGGTGCATGGTCCCAAAGCTTTGGGCTGTCCTCTGCTGCTTTCCCGGGCCACAGGCAGGGAGCTAGAAGGGAAGCGGGGCTGCCGGGATAGAACTGGCGCCCATATGGGATCCCGGGCGTGCAAGGCGAGGACCTTAACCACTACGCCACCGCGCCGGGCCCAACAAGTGCTCATCTTATGTCCCTGCCCCAGCGTTCTGCCCCTGGGGAGGTGGTGGGCAGGGGTGACTTTGCAAGAGAGAAGGCTGGATCCTGGCTTGGGATTCTTGGCTGTGTCCTCCTTTCTCCTCTGGGCTCTTTTTGTTTATCTCTTTCACCTCGTGGCTTCGGAATTACTGCTTGGCATCTGAAGCAGTGCTCTTTGCCTTGCTCTGATTTTGCAGCAAACTTTGAATCGCCTGCAGTACCCGTTCTAGCTAGGAAAGGGTTGTCCCTTCATTGTTGTTTTCCCAGCCTGCTGCAGCTCAGTGGAAACCTCTGTCCCTCCTTTCCGTTGGTTGTGTCTCTCAGCTGGTCCCTGTTGGTAACCCCAGCAACGGCCTGCCTCTAGCAGCATCATCCCATGCTACTTAGACAAGAGGCAGGGAGCCCGAGAGGTCCTTGTTCTTCCCATTGGTGGTTCTACTGGTCAAAGCTGGGAGTGTCTTTAAGAACCACTTGTTTAATTCAGGGGCAGTGAATGTTAAAGTCAATTAAGTAATTTTGCTGCACACACTGGACAAGTGGACCATTGTGGGAGCAGGGGAGAGGTCATGTAGACATTGATTTTCCCATCAATGCACTGTTTATGCTTTTCTTGTTTGTAGAAGATGATTCTGATCCTGTCATTGTGTGCTGCTGTTCCATGAGCTTTATTCCTGAAGGTACATTCGTTTTTCTGCCATCTGGAGGGTGAGGGCCACGAGAACGGAAACTAGATTTGTCGGGCTTGCTCCCCAGATGGCTACAATGACTAGGTGTATGCCAAGTTGAAGCTAGGAGCCAAGAATGCCACATTGGTTTCTCACATGGGTGATGGGCCCAATTGCTTGTGCTGCCTTCCCAGGCACGTGAGCAGGAAACTGGATTGGAAGGGAAGCAGCCGGGGCTGAAACTGGTACTCATGTGAGATGTTGGCATTGGGAGCATTTGAGTGGCTTGCAGTGCTCAATGCTGGTTCCTCTTATTTTTTTCCTGTGATAGTCTGTACATTTCTTAAAGCTAATGGAGTCCTATTTGGGGATACAGTGGTCTGATAAATTAATAAATTATATTAAACTACTGCCAAGTAATAAGAAAGAACATATTTTGGATTCTTGTGGCATCTTCCTAGTTAACACTCACAGAATAGAGACAGGAGAAAGTGAGATAAATTGTGGAGGCCTGTTGAGGCCATTGGGCATGGGGACCCAAAGTATTAATTGTACCTCTTTCACTGTTACTGGGGACGTGCGTACAACCTTAGGAATCTCTATACTTGGCGCTGGGATCAGTGTGCTAGGAAACCGAAGATACTTGGGACCCAGATGATGCGAGAAGGATTATGAATGAAAGGAGTTTCTAGAGGGTGGAGTCTCACCTGACTTTTGGCTGCATGGTTCAGATTCAAAGCCAACATCTTTTGTACATGCAGAGGGGAGATCTGCAGGGCTTTTATGGGGATTCTGTCCTGTCCTTCCTCTTCTCATCTTCCATCTTTTGGTAATATTCACAAGACTTTGTGGCTCAGAGTTGAAGTCTCTTAACACATGTTCGCTCCTTGATCCTTGTTGAATGGGATAATATAGGCAGCTCTTTGCTTTCTGGACCCCACTGTCAAATTCTGTGCATGAGTTTATAGAGTAAGTGAGCACAGTATTTCAGATTTTGAATTGCTTTGCTCCAAATTCTTGGGAAACCTGTTTCTTCAGTAGGTTCTTCAGTGACGAGGACTTTAGTGTTGGTTGGGACACACCCATACTCTGCGTGTCGGGAATAAAGAGGAGACCCAGCAGGGAATGAGTCACAGCCTCCCTGAAGAGCAGCCTCTGAGACTCGTGCACATGTTTACACATAACTTGTTCCCAGATGTTGCCCCTATACTGACCAGATTGTGGACTTACCTTCCTGGGAGACAGGACAAAGGGCACGGGCACCCATGCTCTTGCTGTTAGTCATTATTTGACCACAAGTACAACAGGGCATACATAGAGATCGCTTTTGAGTGTTGGGGTCCATGAAGGCTGGCCAGCCAATCCAGGCAGAAAGAGAACTTTGTTACCCTAAAGAAGAGTTTAATCTGGGTAGCTGAGAGTTGACTGTGCTTGCAGAACTGAACATGTGATACAAAGGAAATGATACAACAGAGATACCTCACGGAACGTGGCTCTTCATTGCCTCATCCCCATGTCACTAATGAAACAGGAATCTGATAGGACCAACTGTTCTTAATAGGAGCCATCAGGTAAGAGCAGGGCATCTTGGGGGTTGAAATTTGGGGAAGGGGAGTGGGGGACCTGAGAGTTACCTGATAGGAGGGAGATGGGTTAGGGGCAAAGAAAAGATTAAGAGAAGAAAGCAGAGCAAGTTGGAAAGGGCGGGGTGGGTGGATGAGGAGGGAAGAGGAACAGAAACGGAAGAAGAGGTAGTGAGGATTGGGAGATAGGAGGAAGTAAGAGATGGGAATAGGGACCAGCTGTTGTCCAGTAAGGGAGGCTGACAGCTGGGGAAGGTGGGAGATGGGGCAGGCAGAGCTGAAGAGGTTACGGTTGGTGGAGGAACAGGAGGCAACTTCTTCCTGGTTTCCAAGTGAGAAATGGAGGGAGGGGTGCACTCTGGACTCAACGTTCTGTATCCTTCCTCTGACCTGGACTTCACAGTGACCAAGGTCAGCAATTCCCAGGCTGCACTGTCCACGATGGAGCCCCCAGCCGCCTGTGCCCACTGAGCCCTCCAAATGCGGCTGGTCTGCATTGAGATATGTGGTACAGGCAAAATAACACCAGATTTTGTGGGCTGATGTGAGAAAAAAGGAAAAGTTCTTGATTTTTTTTTATATTGGTTACATCTTGAAATAATATTTTGGATATACCAAGCTTAATAAAGTATTTATTGAAGTTAATTTCACCTGATGCCTTTTTATTTATTTTTTTCTTTTTTTACTTTCAGAATGTGGTTACTGGGAAACCGTACACTCTTCTTGAATTTGCAACACACATTCTGTTTCTCTTCTTGGTACTATTCTGGGGCATTTGAGCTAGAAGAGTCCCCCTTAAAACCTCATTTTATAGATGTGGAAGTTACATCCTAGGGGTCTGTTCACAGTTACCACACAAATGTCCAGCGCTTGAGCTAGGGCCCAGGACTGTTGATCCTGTCAGTGCAGGGCATTCTGTATGAACTCAAGCTGGCAACCACAGGTACCCGGGTGGCCTTCTGTAGTCGCATGATAAGCATGGGAAGTACAACTCCTGCCTTCATCCCTGCCTTGGGTTCACAAGCTCACAACTGTAAATGGCCCAGCTGTTGCTCTTGTAATGAAGACCCTTTAGCAGTGGGCCACCCAAAGAAGTACAAACAAACTTGAAACCCTAGCAGGCTGCTACAGGTCAGTGTGCCCAGGAGCTCAGTGTGGGGGGCAGCGAACTGGAAAGAAATGTCCCCATCTGACACAGGGTGAAAAAGAGATGTCAAAATCACAATCAATATCATTCAGAACCTTTTCTGCTTATCTCACTGATACCCAAAGATGAAGCTGTCAAGTGAAGATCCCGTGCCTAGTTTCCAGATTAGCAAACTCGGGATCAGAATGGGCACTTGTGCCCTGCAGTGTGAGAATCATGAAGCTAGAATAGCAAGGACCTTTCAACCAGGCTTCCTGGTTGCTGGTTCTGTGCTATTTCTACCTAGTGGACACTCACAGAAGTTTCAGGAAGGGAAGAAGAGAGAAAGAGGAGAGAGGGAGAGAGGTCATTGACTGCTGGCCAACACTAGCCCACTTAAGACTTACTTGTTTTTTAGAGATTTAATTTTATTGCAAAATCAGATATATACAGAAAGGAGGAGAGACAGAAATATCTTCCGTCCGATGATTCACTTCCTAAGTAACTGCAATGGCCGGTGATGCATCGATCTAAAACCAGGAGCCCAGATCCTCTCCCGGGTCTCCCACGCAGGTGCAGGGTCCCAAGGCCTTGGGCCATCCTTGACTGCTTTCCCAGGCCACAAGCAGGAAGCTGGATGGGAAGTGGAGCTGCCAGGATTAGAACCGGTGCCCATATGGGATCCTGGCATCTTCAAGGCAAGGACTTTAGCTGCTAGGCCATGGGCACCAGGCCCCAAGACTTTCTGGTGTTGATTTACTGGGGGTCTCTGTGGGATCCTGGGGTAAAGGAGATGAGCCTTGATTCCTCTGCCCAGACACACAAATCTGGAACTTCTCATTCATACCAGCAACCTGGCAACCAGTATTGTTGCCAGGGGTGAAGTCTTCCCTCAACACCACCCCGTTCAAGTGCAGAACGAACCAACTCTGTCCTCATCTTTACTGCGTGCTTTTGTGAGGACCGCTGCTCCACAGTCCTTTCCTACACCTTGTGTTGCAGTCCACGGGAAGAAAACTACCAACAGATAAATTCTCTGGGACTCAGGTGCCCAGGGTC